TTAATAGGTTATATTGTTATATGTGACGTAAATGTGTGAACACCATGAAGGTATAGACTAATACAACATGTGGTGTGTGCATACTGAATCACACGTGCATGTGAGGTATGTAAATGTGAACATGTGAAGTTCATACTGTGAATTATTTTGTTTGAAGGTAATTGAAGGTACTGCTGGGTACAGTGAATATAAAACTTGAATGTAGAATGCATACTACCTCAAATATGTACTCAGGCTTAGTCACATTGTAAATTTGGTAAAGTGCCTTTGATTGGAGGGAAGTTATTTAGATATTTGAGTTGATACATTTATTGTTGTATGCAATAATTATTGGTTCATTGCTACAATTCATTCTGAGTAAAGCTGTGAAAGTGAAGCATCGCATCGTGTGTATTTACTGTGTTAATATTCTCCCTGACAGGGGTACTACATGCACATAAAAACCAAGTAAGCTTTCAGCGAACAGTCAATAGCAAAACACCAAAGCGATAACATCGTAATGTTTGCAGGTGACAACGACGTGGTTATGGGATTCATCAATAACAATTATGAGAAAGAACATCAATTGAATGCAAACAAGACAAAACAGATGACTGTTGACTTCAGATGCACCAAAGCCCCACATTGACCATCATTACACATCAGACAACACAAAATTTCAAAATCCTGGGCCCACACATCTCTCTGAACACCCAACAGCTCCTGTATTTTCTAAGGAAGCTGAAGAGAGATGGCATTTACTCCTCCACCCTCACTGGTTTCTACAGAGGCGTTATATGTTAGAGTGTATTAACCAGCTGTATCGCCATCTTCTATGGAAATCGCTCAGCATCTGACAGGGGAGCTCTACATTGGGTAGTGAGGATGGCACAATGTATCGCTACTGCAAAAACGTACTGCCCTTGACGACCTTCATATCGTTGAGCTCTAAGAAAATTCTGTGTAAAAATTGTGTTTTATGGTTAAAGGAAGTGTCTACAAATTTAACAGGTGATGCCCTGGCAGAAAGTTACAAGCACATTTTCTGTTTTTCTATGATATGAATCAGTCAAATCCCACTGCTGCTACTCTTTATGTAATGTTAGATTATGCCTCCATGCCAGAAATAGATCCAGCTCCAGACACCAGATCCTATCAGAAAAATACCTGTTTTGTCTGGTAACAGAACAACTAGTCGGCAAGTCTTGTATCAACAGTCTTCTGTCAGCCCAGAAGTTGACTGTAAATCCAGTGAAGAGCAGAAGCAGGAGACAAAGTAATGATGATAAAAAGGAGTCAAGTTTATTGAATAATTTTAGTTGCATACGTTTCAATGCTCAGGCTTCAAATGAGAAACACAAATCCGACAAGTGTTATTATACAACAAGCAATAGCAATGGAAAATTATTTCACAACAACTGTGACAATAAAAGCCTTGAAATAACAAACACACACAGTTTGAATTTGAAGATCCTTATATCCTTCAATACTCTGAATTTGTCTTCTGCATTTATCCCATTCACACACAGCAGTGGTTCTGCAGCCATTTAAAATTGGGGGTTAGTTGCCCTCTTGCTCAAGGGCACCTCAGCCATTGAGGGTGGAAAATAGCGCTGTTAATTCACCCCACCCCCTACTTTTGGCTTAGAATTTTCACTTCTATGATGAGCTTAAGATTTACTGCCTTGCTGACAAAAGTTAAGAGTAGGCCTACAGACCCCAGTGTCACAGAGAACCGTCATCACAGCAAAACTGCCGAGCTTAGAACAGGAGCAGACGGTCTGATCAGCACTGGATCTCACTGTAGTGCAGCCATGTGTTGACCACGCGCCTCCTTCCAGTTCAGGATCCCAAAACACACACATATGCTTCTCATTCTTTTTCTGGAGGGAAATGTATGTGCAGAATTGTTAGTTGATAGTATATCATATTGGTGTAACACATTATATGTGGTACATTGAGAGCAAATTGTTCCATACCGTCAAGTGATAAAACGTGAGCTTTATTGGTTTCTTTAGGTTGGTTGTCTCATAGTAACTAAAAGTGGCAGTTACTACTTTTGAATTGATCTTGAAAGTTTGCTTTTGCTGTGTCTCTAAATGGTTAAAACAGCAGTTGAGTGATTCCTCCAGACCTTTGTAGCTGAGGAGAGCTGCAGTCGTAAAGCCTGGTTGATGCACAAAGACAGTAAAAATCGTTTTATACTGACACAATAAAATATACAATATTTTACAATAAAACACAATATACTGACACTTTTTTATGTTGTATTTATAAGAATGTGTACCGAGGTATGTATTTCCTGTTGCTGTGTCCCAGTGGGAGGTCAATTGTGCTCCACTAGTATTCATCATGAAATGACCCTCAGGTGGAGAATTGCCCCTCTTTACTAACATTTCCACATCTGGAGGGCAAAAACCACATTACAAATGTAAAACAGATTCATTGAAGCAGATGCTACTGAAGATGGTACTAGTGGTACTGAAGTGTAATGTTTAGTGACGTATTTCTTACCTGCTTTAGCGCATATTTTCCTGGTCTGGCTTGCTGACAGTAGATGTCCGATCAGTTTTAGTATGATTACCGCAATCCTAAAAAATGCTGAGACTATATCATTATCACCATTGAAGCCACCATGAAGCAGATCATCTTGATCACACAGAAAGGCCTGTATTGTGGTGGGTGAAATGAGAGAGATTTGTGGATCAAGATGATGTTTAAAGCACTCATTTGAACTCTGTGAATGTCTGCAAGACACTTTACCACTAGTGCTGTCAATCGATTAAAAAAATGACCTAATTAATCACACATTTCTTCTGAGATTAATTGCGATTAATCCCACCTAACTTTAACGTTTTAAATATACTTTTATATTGCAATAATTTCACATTAAATCTTAAAATTAATGTACAAACAACATAAAGACTATATTGACATATAGACTATAAAGACATATATTTTTAATATTTATTTTATGGCATCTTTTTTATGACTGAAGGCCAGTATCACTGATACCAATACTACTGATGTCTCTATAAAATGGGTTTCCCCCCTAATATTTAACCATTGACAATAGAGAATGCAAATATCTTTGCAAGAGAACACAAAAGTTTTGCGAGGGAATGCAAAGTATCTCGAGGGAACGCAAAAGTGTTGAGAGTGAACGCATAACATTTCAAAAATATTTTTTCCTCCCGCCCGGAATTTTTTCTACTCACCCTGAATTTTTTCCCACCACCATGTCTCTTTAAGGACTCCGTATTTTTAGGCTTTGCTATGCCACACTATGTCAGAACAGTGCGAAGGTCTGTCATGAATTTAGTGGTTATTCACTCTTAAAAATAAAGGTGCTTCACGATGCCATGGAAGAACCTTTTTGTCTAAATGGTTCCATAAAGAAGCTTTAACATCTGAAGAATCTTTCTGTTTCACAAAAGGTTCTTTGAGGCGAAAGAAGGTTCTTGAGATTATAAAAAGGGAAGAAAGAGATGGTTCTTTAAAGAACCTTTGACTGAATGGTTCTTTGTGGAACCAAAAATGGTTCTTCTATGGCATTGCTTGAAGAACATTTTAAGCACCTTTATTTTTAAGAGTGTATAAATTGAAAGCTCTGGGAATTTTAAAATAAAAAATGTAGTCTAATAATTATAACAACAACTACTACTAATAATAATAAATGGGCTTTCTAAAGCCAACATAATAAAGTAAAACTTTTGACATTATTACAAATAGCATTTTTTAAAAACTGTTTTATTTTTGCCATAAAAACGGATTTAAAAAGTGTCACCTCCAAAAGTTTCTCTCCATCCTCTTGTGTATTATTCCTGACAGACTCGCTCTGACTCAGTACCTGACAGCTGTTGTTCATCAAAGAGATGAGTTTTGTGAGCTTTGGTGATGCCTACAGAAAAGAGAAATCAGCATTCTGGTTAATTATGAATTACTGTAATATTCATATTCTGTATCAGTGGTCTAGTAAAAGTCACATACCTGAGATGCTTTGCTCTCACTTAATAATCTGTCACACTTAAGCTCTGAAAAACAAAACTAACATAATATCAATATCACATGAAAAAAAGTATGGCTGGGATTAGGTGATCACATCTGATATTCAGATCAGCAGCACGTGTTGCACAACAGCTCATTAAACAAGAATCAATAATATTACACTGAACAAAATAGTAACCTTACATAATATCACTGAATCAACATAACTACATCCATTTATACCAACAAAACTAGTTTTAGGGGTTTGAACAGGTAGAAATAGCTCTTTAAGTGCATACTCTCACTAGGCACGGTTGCGTTGTACCAAACCCGATTGCGATTATCCCCTCTTCCCACTCCCTTGCTGTCCTGCACTCACACGGCATATAATGTTTTGGGCTGGAGCACATTTATGTCAATGCAATGTTCCATAGCTGTTTTGTGCTCATGTTAAAACTAAGGCAACTGTTTTGCGTTATGAATTATGGGAAAACATGAAATATAAGAGATATTTAGGAACCAAAATAAACTTTTAACAGAGAACTCTAACCTGTGCATTTCATTTGTTTGTGACCATAGTTGGTGAATCCTAAGCTGCACAAACATTCATGACCGTCTTTGCTGTTTTTGCAGACTCCTCCTCCACATAAAGATTTATCAACGTCACATACATCTTCAACAACATCAAAACAGCATTTTGGAGGATATTAGATTTCTCAAAAATAAACAGAAACTTCAGTGTGTCAAAATGTAAACTTGAATGGTTTGAAAGGACCTACTCTCGCAGAATTCACTTGTATCAGTGAAGTTAGTTTCTCCTGACTTTAGTCTGAATCCAGCATCACAGATGCAGTAGAAACCTCCAGCAGTGTTATGACATGATGCATGGTTTCCACAAAAACTGGGATCATTGCATTCATCGGTGTCTGTAATTTAGGGACAGATAATAAACAAAACTCTCAACTGAAAACTCTCACATTAGACTGCAAGCAAACAGATGGCCAAAAAATACGTAGGATAAAATTGTTTGATACCAATACACTGAACTCCTTGTCCTGAATTAAATATTTCTTTTCCATTGCTGGAAATGTAGCCAGTTGCACACGTGCAATTATAACCTCCTTCAGAACTGACACATTCTGCATTAGGACCACAATCAGCGCTGCCATCCACACATTCATTGATGTCTGAAATGAGATGAACAGAGATTCAGATGTTTTCTCTGCTGCTCAGAGATCATGTGAGATTCATCATATCAAGCTCTCTTTACCTTTGCATGAAATTGAATCCGCTTGTGTGAAATTATGAGTTGAAAGAGGTGTGAATCCTTCATGACATTGACAGTAGTAGCTGCCGTCAGTGTTGAAGCATCTTGCATTTTCTCCACAAATGGATGGTTGAGACACACACTCATCGTCATCTATAACAATGACAGAGAAAGTTTGAATAACCATAGCACCTTTTCCTGATTTTTATTTAAAATTCATTAAAAAGTACTGTTTCATGAATGTGTCCTATATCTGCAATAGGCCTATAATTTCTAGCTATTCAATAATATAGAGCAATATCAACAGAACTTGATTATTATTTGTGTGTTTGTGTGAATCTTGTATAAATGTTAGTGTAATATCCTGATTATTCAGTAAATCAGAATATTTTGTGTTTTTTCTTTTATCCACAAGAATGTATTTTATTTCATTATAATGATGCATTAAGGCATTTAATGTATTTCATTATGTGGTAAATAATTACATAATTTCATAGTTTTAGTATAAAAGTTAAAATATGCATTTGCATAGTGTTAAAAACGTTTTTATAAATATATAGAAAAATGTATAGGTCGTTTATAAGATAAAAACCCAGATATATTTCATCTATTATTATTTCATGATGCTTTGAGTGTACTATGGGAAAAATGGAAGCGTAGAAGAAGAGAAAAAAATCGAGAAGCGCGGAGGACTGAACAGGTCATGCCAATGTGTCCGGGGAAAATGGTAAAAAGTGCTTAGAGCCGCTTTTCAGCAAGCCGGGAAGACTGATCCTTGCTCCAGTGGACCGCAGGAGAGTTCGTGGACAACCCGCGCTGCGAGAGAGTGAGTTGAACTGTAGCTGTGTCTCATTTAGAAGGCTGCACCCTCCGGAGGTCGAATCCTCTAGAGGTCGCATCCTCTGTAGGATGCATGTACGAAGTGTCCTCAACCAAGAATTAAACAAGACGGCCTTCGTAGGACAGGCGGAAAAGGAAACTGGAAGTATCACGTTGCTATGCCAACACATTTAGAGCATCGTTGCGCTCTCACACTACTTAAACAAAGGAAAATTATTTCTAAATTTGGAAAGTAATTTGAAAAAAAAAATGCTTTTACTTGTTTTATTTTGTTCAATGTTGAGGAACTGCAGCGTACGTACAGCAGACATCTATTAGAGAAAAAAAGGAGGAAGATATTTAAAACAAAGTTTATCCGTGTTTACCGAGGCGAACTAAGGTAAGTTCTACACACCACATCTGCGCTTGTGTGTACGTTACATCAGCCGGTGCTGGCATTTTTTCAAATTAACAACGGTTGTTCACGGCGACGCAAAGAATTGTGGGTTATCTGTAGCAGCGAAGGATACACCTCATGCATCCTCCGATTTCTTGTGAAAGAAGGTCGCATTCGAAGGTCGCATTCGGAGTGTCCTACTTGCTTTTCTGAAATGAGACAGCCTCGATGACGTATGCAGCCTTCGAATGCGACCTCCGGAGGACGCAGCCTTCTAAATGAGACACAGCTTGTGTTTTCCAAAGACGAAGCTGAGAGAGCTAAGCTAGGCTAAAGCTAACTTTGTCGTGTCTGTGGTGATTTCCTCGCTGAGAGCCGCAAGGAAGCAGACGATGTTGCCGCCGGAGATTCAGCGCTCACCTGTGGGGAGGATGACAGGGAAGTGGGATTCCGTGTGCCCACGTTCTTTGTTCCTTGGATCGTGAGGACTGCGATTTTCTTCAGACTGGTAGGATTATTGTTGCGGTGTTTTCAAATGGATATGAGCTCCAACGCGCCAACGCAAGCTTGCATAAAACACTAAGAGTGCACTCAGGTTGACTTTATTTGATTAACACATCTAAGGATTTAAAATATAATTTCACATTTGAATTGGGTAATTGTATGACCTGTGTTTTTATTTAATTAATACAAAACCCTAAAATGCATTTATTGTGTGTGTTCATCCTTTCTACACTGTAAAACAGGCACTGTGAGATATATTCAAAAGTTACGTGGTAACCAAAGGCACATATTTTGAGTTATTTAATTAATATTATTTTTGGGAAACCTCTAATTAGTGTTTTAAAGGTGAGGATCATATTTAACCCTAGACATAGTTGTATACATTGGAATGTCTCTTTTCCCAATTTGTTATTTAGAGTTTAAAGGGGGCATGCACTGAATAGTTATTCCCTTACTATAACGAGCCGGGTGGTAAAAGGGTTACATTTTTGGGGGCTTTGTCCGGGATTTTTTTTTAAACATACAGTTTACCCAGCATTGAGTTATTTGTGATATTGTTGAATGTTTTATTGAGTTTTGCTGTATACCTTGAAGGTTTTGGTTTCTTTTTCTGCTCTAGACTGACAAAATGGAGGCAGTAGAGATTGCAGCGTGGTGTAAAAGACATCAGCTAGATCCCGCTCATGCAGTAGTCTTAAGTGGTGTTTATGATGTCCACCTCAGTCACCAAACCAGCACTCGAAAATAAAACTGATCCTGAAGTTGAATGACTCAAAAGTGAACTCAGCGTGATCAAAGCTGAATTGAACAATCTCAAGGCTGCAACTGATGCGGCAGCAGCAGCTCAAGCCGAAACAAAAAGTTCCAACCCTGAACATGCAACCAAAAGCGAATATAAAAAAAATACAGCTCCACAAAGACCAAAGAGCAACAGAGACCAACCTGGAATAGTTTGTTATCGATGTGGAGAAGACGGACATTACATGAGAGAATGTTAAGGTGTTGAAAACCTCCAAAGAGTCAACAAGCGGCTTATCAAACTCACAAAGAAATCGGGAAACTACCACAGGGCCCAGTAGAGGAACGGCCTGGTGTCCCGGACTTAAAGACACATTCCAAGAGCATCAAAACAGAGAAAGAATTGGAAGACACTATCCCTAAAGGCTTAGCTGGCCCTAGCTCTGCTGTATCAGTCCAGATTGAAGGCATTTACACTAAAGCCATACTCGACACTGGTTCTCAAGTCACTCTGCTCTACAGATCTTTCTACGACAGATACCTGATGCACCTGCCATTGACACCTATCAGTGCTTTACAGACATGGGGTCTCAGTCCTGCGGATTACCCGTATGATGGCTATTTGTCACTCAAGCTGGAGTTCAGGGAAGCCGATGTAGGCGTGACAGAGACCACTGATGCACTTGTACTTGTCTGTCCTGACCCAGTCATGAAAGATAATGCTGCTATACTTGTTGGCACAAACACACCCACTGTGAGAAGACTTCTCAAAAGTTACAAAGACAAAGGAGAAAACGTCACAACAGTACAACACATCCACCCTGCTTTCAGAAAGGCTATGGATGAAAATCTCAAAGTCCCAACCTGAAACTGATAGCCACAAAAGAGGATCCGTATGGTTTGCCCAACCAAAGCCAATAACAATACGCCCAGGTGGTGTAGCAAGGGTCAGAGGCGTGCCAAAGTTTCGAGGGATACCAAGTACCCAAGCTATTTTGGTGGACTCACCTGATGATTTTATAGAAGAACCAAGGTTCCCAGATCAAATCTTAGTGAGACCCGAACTGCAGTCAGTCACTGTTGTAAGTTCCAGAAGAATCACGATCTTGGTCAGTAACAATTCATCAAAAGAGATCACACTGACCAGAGGTATGCCAATTGCCTACCTCTTCCCCGTTGACGTGCTGCCAACACCTACTGTGAAAAAAGAGGCAAGCATCACGTATTCAAAGAAACTGACCCCGTCTTCTTTCGACTTTGGAACCTCACCTGTTCCTAAGAAATGGAAAGAGTGGCTAGTCAACAAAATGATTGAACGGAGCGATGTTTTCTCCACTCACGAGTTCGATGTGGGTTGCAGTAAAAGCTCGCAACATACTATAAAAACTATTGACGACAAGCCATTTAGAGAAAGATCTTGTCGCTTGCCACCTGCAGATCTCGAAGTGCTTAGACAGCACCTGTCAGAACTAAAAGAAGCTGGCATAATCACGGAGTCACGCAGTCCGTATGCATCCCCTATAGTGGTCGTACGAAAGAAAAATGGGAAGATCTGCATGTGTGTGGACTACCGTACGCTAAACAGACGGACTATCCCTGATCAATACACAGTGCCCAGGATTGAGGATACACTTGCTTGTCTAAATGGAAGCAAATGGTTCAGTGTCCTAGATCTCAGAAGTGGATACTACCAAGTGCCCATGGGTGAGTCGGACAAAGAGAAGACTGCTTTCACATGTCCACTTGGTTTTTACCAATTCGACAGGATGCCTCAAGGAGTGTCAGGTGCTCCTGCAACTTTTCAGCGAATTATGGAAAGAACTGTAGGTGACATGAATTTGATGGAGGTGTTGGTCTATCTAGATGACCTTACGTGTTTGGCGCTACACTCGAAGAGCACGAACAGGCTAAGACTGCTAAAAGTACTTGACCGCCTCAAAGAGGAGGGCCTCAAACTGTCGTTAGACAAATGCCAGTTTTGTCAACCCTCAGTATCCTATGTCGGCCACATTGTGTCACAAGAAGGCGTGTCTACAGATCCAAAGAAAACAGAAGCAGTAACTACCTGGCCCAGACCAACTACTGGAACTGCCTTGAAATCTTTCCTTGGATTCTGTGGATATTACAGACGCTTTGTCAAAGATTATTCCAAAGTTGCATTCCCTCTAAACCAACTCCTGTCTGGTTACCCACCTCATGCGGAAAGATCCAAGAAAAAGCATGAACAAACCTATCTCAACCCGTCAGAACCATTTGGTTGTCGGTGGGATGACAAATGCGAAGCTGCTTTCGAGGAGTTAAAACAAAGACTAACAAATGCTCCTGTGTTGGCCTTTGCAAATTCCCAGTTACCCTACGTGCTACACGTTGACGCAAGTCAAGAAGGGCTTGGTGGAGTTTTATACCAAGACCAAGGTGAAGGGCTCAGACCAGTCGCTTTCATTAGTCGCAGCCTAACTCCATCTGAACGTCACTCTCCGGCACACAAGCTGGAATACCTTGCTTTAAAGTGGGCCGTAGTCGATAAGCTACATGACTATCTGTATGGTACAAAGTTTGAGGTCAGAACCGATAACAACCCTTTGACCTATGTGTTGACGTCTGCCAAATTAGACGCAACGGGCCACCATTGGCTGGCAGCTCTGTCCACATATGACTTCAGTCACAAGTACAGATCAGGAGTCCAAAATATAGACACAGACGCACTGTCAAGGCACCCACACCCTAACCAAAATTCTGAAAGGCAATGGACAGACATTTCCGCAGATGGCATCAGAGCTATGTGTCAAGTATCTAAAGTGACCAAGGAAAGTACCTGTCCTGAAAGAGCCATTGATCATTTAGGCTTCTCCATGCACGCCATACCCAAAGCCTACTGTAATCTGTCTACACTCAGTCTCAAAGGAATGCCTATTCAAAAAACGGAAGCGTAGAAGAAGATAAAAATATTGAGAAGCGCGGAGGACTGAACAGGTCATGCCAATGTGTCCGGGGAAAATGGTAAAAAGTGCTTAGAGCAGCAAGCCGGGAAAACTGATCCTTGCTCCAGTGGACCGCAGGAGAGTTCATGGACAACCTGCGCTGCGAGAGAGTGAGTTGAACTGTGTTTTCCAAAGACGAAGCTGAGAGAGCTAAGCTAGGCTAAAGCTAACTTCGTCGTGTCTGTGGTGATTTCCTCGCCGAGAGCCGCAAGGAAGTAGATGGTGTTGCCGCCGGAGATTCAGCACTCACCTGCGCGGAGGATGACAGGGAAGTGGGATTCCGTGTGCCCACGTTCTTTGTTCCTTGGATCGTGAGGACTGGGATTTTCTTCAGACTGGTAGGATTATTGTTGCGGTGTTTTCAAATGGATATGAGCTCCAACGCGCCAACGCAAGCTTGCATAAAACACTAAGAGTGCACTCAGGTTGACTTTATGTGATTAACACATCTAAGGGTTTAAAATATTATTTCACATTTGAATTGGGTAATTGTATGACCTGTGTTTTAATTTAATTAATACAAAACCCTAAAATGCATTTATTGTGTGTGTTTATCCTTTCTACACTGTAAAACAGTGTAAAATATATTCAAAAGTTAAGTGGTAACCAAAGGTACATATTTTGAGTTATTTAATTAATATTATTTATGGGAAACCTCTAATTAGTGTTTTAAAGGTGAGGATCATATTTAACCCTACACATAGTTGTATACATTGGAATGTCTCTTTTGCCAATTTGTTATTTAGAGTTTAAAGGGGGCATGCACTGAATAGTTATTCCCTTACTATAACGAGCCAGGTGGTAAAAGGGTTACATTACCATGCACAACCCAAGTAAAATCCTGTTAAGCAAAGTATCATAGACCTATATGTTAGCTTTTTTATTCATACCTACACACTTTCCCTTGCGCTTTACATATCCAAGTACGCAGGGTGTTTGCATCAGGATGTTCTCTGTCAGTGCTAACAGAAGAACTATAAGCAGAAAATAAAGAGTCTGTTACTGCAAGTTTAGTGTCTTTGGTGTAGTTTAATGCACATATAGTGAGTCTGAGACCACATTGATAATATGGGATGTTTTTATGTTAACTTGCAAAATGCAGATAGTTTTAGGAACGGTCAAAAGTCAAACCAAAGGCATTCAGAAATTTAAATGAAAAAGAAATGAATAAATTCATGATAATTTTCAATTTGACTAAAGTAGTTATGTAATGAAATGGTAACATCGACTATATTGCTCTCATGCATGTCAAACTGAGCCACATTTTGACCCATCCTAATCTCATAGGTAAGACATGCTAAAATTAACCAAAATTACGTATTGCCTATAATGGCTTTATGTCTTAGAATACAAAGTTGGAAGACGTATCAAAGAAAAAAATAATTCTATTAAGCTAATTCTATTTCCACTCATTGTTCATGACAGTTGCATTGAGATGATGGCCAGTCAGGAAGTACACTGCTCGAGAGCTATGGGTGGGGTGCTGCGCAGTACTGTGGCTAACAGATTTCACTTTCAGAACCAGCATACAGATCACCGCACTGTCTCATGCTTTGACCACAGGCTTGGTCAGCCAGAAGACTGTTTAAAAGTGCCGTAACACTTTTTACAACCACATTGGTGACTCAGCTGTAGCGTCTGGACCACTCCAACACACAATATATATTTTGTTAGCTAGATTTCACAAATACTTTGTAACACCCCAGGACGCCGAACAAGACCCTGGTTTCATGGTAACCCGATACATTTACAACCTTGTGGAATGCGAGCCGGCTCTCATTCTGCTTTCTCCAGAAACAAGGGGTAAAAATGCACAGGAGAAATGGACTGTTCTACTAATTAATTCATAGGAAAACCTTCTTTGCCATAACCTAAGGCAGTGTTTCCCAACCGGGGTGTCTGTCGAGAGCAGGGGTGCCATGTAAAAAATCCTTTTTTAATATTTTTAAATCGCTAAAATGTTCAAAAAGCATCTATTATATAATATCCATTTCTGATGTCGCCAATAATTAGAGATGCACCGAACTTTCGGCTGCCGAAAATTAGTTCACCGCTCAGGTTTCACTTTCACGTGGTGTGACGCTCTGCGTATTATCCCACTCTATGCGCGTGCGCATGTATGCAGTCACTCCACTCGTATACCGTTCATGCAAATCGGAACAGCAAAGTCCGCTCAAAAAGTGAGCCGACAGGAAACATCGATGTAGTACAGTATTGGTTCTGTCTGCAATAGCCCTACTGTGCTGTAACATGATGTGGTATATATATGGCAACTCTGGTAACGCTGCCCTCTCATTCATTGATCTGCTAACCACTATGTTATGCTCGCGTGTTCTGATAATAATAGCTTTCTAGGACTAAACATTATTTGGATAATTGGTAAAAAAAAAAAAAGTTAAATGTCTTAACCCCCTACTGTTAGACCTACCTGAAAAACTAAAAAGCAATTTATTTAATTCGAAGGCCTGTCGTTATTTTTTATTTGTGCTATCATTATTAATTTCTTTATTTGTTCTTGCTTTATTACTGACTGCTTACTTGTAATTTTTTATTAAATTCAATGTTTGAAATCAAGCTATCTCGTGCTACTGCACCAAAATTACCCCACTGTAAAATTTAAAAAACACTGAGTGAGCAAAAATTTGTGAGATTGCTAGTTATACTGGTAATTAAATAATGTTTACATATGTATAAAAGCCTACATTAAAATCTATCATATAAATTGGTCTCTTCATTAGAAAGTAACCAACTGATTGCCACCATGGACAACATTTTTTAATAATATTAAAAATATCTGTATGACATTATATTCTGCAGTTCTTCCCTGTTGTACCGAATATCTACTTTTCAAATTATCACATCGAAGTTAGAAATTCAAATATTGTGACAAAATTAATTTTGTAGGGTGCCGCAAGTTTGTTAAAATTTCCAAAGGGTGCCGCGACTAAAAAAAGGTTGGGAAACACTGACCTAAGGTATGGTCTTGCTCATTATTTTGTAACCAAGCATCGGGCAAACAATGTTTTTAGGATTTTGTTCTTATTTTTTTCAGTTTAACAGTAAGGTTTATGTAACACTTTTTTCGCTCTTCATAGTTTTTCCTGGGTTTGATGTCATTGTCCCATCAGCCTGGGCCTCTCAGCTGTGGACACATGAAAACACCTTGGATTTCCTGTCCTGATTTGGTTTCCGTCAATATTTTTCCATTGTCAAAATCAAAGCCAAGTAACTTCACGATTTAAAGTAGTTCACCCCAAAATAAAACAATCTGTCATAATTGACTCACCATCAAGTTGTTTCAAACCTGTATGACTTTCATTTTTGTGTGGAGCATAAAAAAGGACATTTTGAAGTGTGTTTTTGTCAGTGGTTATCAAAGTGGTTTTGTTACCAACATTTTTCACAATAAATTATTTTGTGTTCCCCAGAAGAAATAAAGCCATAAAGGTTTGCAGCGACAATGAGTAATGACAGAATCTTCATTTTTCAGTGAACTAACTCTTTAACTTTGAGCTAAACAACACCCAGTATCACTTGTCATTTTCTCACAATATCACATGAACTCACAATATTTTGATTATACAGTTTTACTATTGCAGTAAATTTATGCAATGATTACGCAGTTGTTGGCAGGGCAACGTTTCATTTAGCAGAACCACACAGTGGCTCCATACAAACATCTGTCTCTTCATTCATCAGTGGAAACTTCAATCCTGAAGAAATCTGAAGCGTGACTCACCCAGACTCAGCAGATGCTTGTGCCTCATGGTCAAAGAGTGAAAGAAACTCGCAAAATTAAAAATCAATAATGAAAACGGCTTATGGTTTGATCCTGAGCAACTTTTATGTTTGAATGCCTCCTTTTCTCAGTCTTGCTCTCAGACTAGGTCTTCTGTCTCTCTCGCTGACTCTAATGCTGAACAAGCCTGAAGTGCCTGAAAGAGTTTTGTTGGTCCAGCCCCCTGCTTTGGTTGACACCGAGAGGGAGGGAGTGGGACAAAAAGTTGCAAGAAAATGAAAATTGGCTTCATGATGTCAGTGTAGTGTTGAGTAACTCTTTCTTGGATGTTAATCTGTTCGCAGAATCTTTCTATTTCATTAAGAAGCATTAAAAACAAACAAACAAAAACAAAAAATGTGAAGTCACACGTGTGACTTCCTGTTTTCGTGTTGTCATGAAGGTGAATAAAGTAAACTTTAGCAACCATATAGCAATTTGTTAAAGGGGTCATCGGATGCAAAAATCACTTTTGTTGTTGTTTGAACATAAATGTGTGTTGGAAGTGTGTGTACACATTCACCCTATAGTGATAAAAATCCACGCAGTGTTTTTTTTTAAATCACTGTTTTAAACCCCCCTTTCTCAAATCAGGCTGTTCTGAGATTCCTGTCAGAATGTTCTGCACAGGCCGCTCCCACGATAGTTGATTAACATGGCCGTCTTACCTTAGACCCACCCTGAGTGAGCTGTGAGCTGTCTGCCATTGTGTCGACTCCGGTGCAGGGGAAGACAAGAATGTCTCAGATTAAGCGATTGCGGTGTTTTGTTGCTGGATGTAATAATGAACATAGCAGTCGTCATTTACTCCAGACATCTGAGCAGCTGAAGACGCAGAGGATTAACGTTATTTTCGTTTTTTGAAAGGAATGCGCCGATCCCCAATCTGCCTAAGCGCGAATCATTCACGATCCAGCTTCATCTACAGAAGCCATTGAGAAATTTTAACCAAAGTATGTTATAGACTTTTCATTAAGACCGTAAAGAATCATATCAGCTTGTGGAAAATGGGCATCTGATGACCCCTTTAAACTCTACCCACAACACGCATTGTGACAGCACATATTATTTTCATTTTCTTCAAGTCTAGTAATTCGAAAGAAATCTATAAAATTTAAACATTGTGTTGCTTTGTTGAAGGATTGTTTTTTTAAAATTCATGATTGATATGAATACAGAAAGGTTCAGTTGAATCTCTATTTGAATCATTCATTCAGTTCTGCTTTCTCTGCAGCCTTATGTTACTGTAGACACCAGCGAACAGTACATGGGCAGAACAGGATATGAACAGGAAATTACAACAGATGGAACAGGTCTGCCAAACATGTCAAAATAAACTCATATCTCTCTCATTCTTTTACATAATAGAGACTCTGCAGAGGTGTTGCATTTTTGGAGGTGTGGCCTAATGTTTAGAGAGTCAAGTGACTAGAGACTAGTAAGCCAAAGGTCATGGACTGCAGTGAATGTACATTCCCACCTACATTCAAGCACCTACAAGAGTGAATATACCTATGGAGTGAATATAACGCGCTCTCTTCCACCTTCAATACTCATGACTGAGAGGAGACCCTTGAGCAAGGCACTGAACCAAAAATGGCTGCCCACTACCAATATGGCTGCCCCATGTTGAGTGTGTGTGTGTGTGTTTGTTCACTACTCACTGTTGTGTGTGTGCATTCGGATGGGAGAAATGCAGAGCACAAATTCAGAGTATGGGGCGCCATACTTGGCCACACGTCACGTCCTTTCCCTTTCCTTAAATCGCTGTTAGGATGTAAAGTAATATTGGGTTCTCCTATTAAACTCCCCAACAAATGTTAATAGCAAACACTGGGGCATAAATACAGTGGGGATAACAAACCTAACTAGACACAGGAGCAAATCATCAGGGAGAAATGAGGGAAACTACAAGAGCTACAAAAGGACTAGAAACAAAACTAGAAACAGGAACAGAAAAAAAGTCCAAATGGGAGAAAATATTTGTTTGTACACAGCTCATGTCCGTAGCTCTGTGGATCCAACAGAAACACAGAAAATGACACAAACATATTGTGCAGTGCCTCAAAAATGTTTGAAGTCATATTTACTGGATAGATCTATGAATGCCACAGTTTTTTCACTTGCTGTATTGGACAATGCTAGGAAATATGAGACATTTTAAAGTGTGGTGTAACGAATTTAGCTCACAACAGGAAATATGAATAATTAACCATAACTAGTTATAATTAACTATTCATATTTTAGATCCGCTGTAGATATTTAGCTGACCTCTCAGGGTCAACTGTCTTGTCAATTCTAAGAACGTTAATTTCCTGGTTAAGGGAAATAACTTTCTTACTGTACAATTCTACAAAAGCTTGTAGCGTAAATCTGCATGATTAGTGACTCCGGTTATGAGAGGGATGGTGTCTTGTAGTTGGTGATTTCTTTTCGACTTTTCCACACTGATGCCGAGTCACTGGAAGAGAATTTAATCTTTATTTTTTCAGAATAATTCCTCTTTGCCACTCTGATATTAAAGACTCTTAGAACACTAGTATGTTGCGTAGGTGTAAACATACAATATACATTCTCAATTAGCTCATCCGAATACGAATTCATAGTAGAGTAACATGGTAGAGTTACTTATATGAATGAGTGGTTTATCGTAAGCATGAATAAAAATAGTCTATAATACAACAGATTAATACAAAACAGCAATAATATACACAATGGCCTGAAGAATATGTGTGTTCATTCAAAGAAAGGTTTTCCTATTAATTAATTAGTAGAAAAGTCAATTTCTACTGTGCGTTTGTCCTGGGACATGCAGGGATTTTCCCTGCTTTAGATACTTTTGGCCAATAAACCCAGTGATATCAGCGTTGGTTGCCATGCAACAAAGGGGCCTGTTTCGGCTTCCTGGGGTGTTACGCATTCCGGGGGGAAGGGTTCATGGGTCCTCGTATGGCTTGTTAACTGAGGGGGGTTACAGAGTATTTGTTAAATATAAAAACAAAATATATATTGTGTGTTTGATTGGTCCAGACGCTACAGTGGCTTAAGTGTCCAAATGCATTGTGAAGACAATGCATGCACTACTGTTTAAAAATGTAGGGTCAGTGGGATTTTATTTAGCAAAAATTATCTGATGCTCACCATGCAAGGCTGAGCAGAAATACAGTCAAAATATTGTGAAATATTATTTGAATATATTTAAAAGTGTAATTCATTCCTGTGATGTCAAAGCTGAATTTTCAGAATCATTACTCCAGTCTCCAGTGTCACATGATCTTTCAGAAATCATTCTAATATGCTGATTTGCTGCTCAAGAAACATTTCTTATCAGTGTTAAAAACAGTTGCTGAATGCTTAATATTTTTGTTTTCAAGATTCTTTGATGAAAACGTTGAAAAGAAATTTGAAATATTTATGAAATATATATATATAAATCCAAACTGTATTGTTGCCTGTTCCAAGTATCCTAGATCAATCAAGTTCTGGTCAGTGTTTCCTATAAATGTTTATCTTGTAATACTGAAATCCACAGCTGTTCCTCTTATTCTGCTCTTGTCCTACACGCTGCTGACAGCAAGAGAATGAGTGCTGAGAAATTGCTTATTCCCAAGATGTTTGGTGATACCAGACAGAAAAGGGATTTTGGTGCACAGTATTTATAAATACTCCAGGTGTAAGAGAACATGAATATAAAATAGAGGATGTGATTGCAGATGTGCAAGAAGCCACAAGATGTATCATACGAAACAAATATTTTCAATGTTATTCACCACCGTAAAATATAGCGTCACTTTTTCATTTCTCCCAAATAGGGTCTTTATTTTGGGTGTTTATTTTATTTAATGTTCTATAACATATAGATTTCAAAATTCCTATTTTAATTTAGAAAGCAGTACATGGGTTTGATTCAGAAAATAGCTTAATATAATAGCTAAACAAAACTTATTAGTTACTAGTTACAAATACTATGTACATGTATGCTTTTTTCTGTATTATTGTAGTTATTTCTGAAGCAATGTAAAAATGTTTGAAAATATACACTTTGTGAATTCGTTTTAATACACTGAACAAAACTATAAACGCAACACTTTTGTTTTTGCCCACATTTTTCATGGGCTGAACTCAAAGATCTAAAATTTTTTCTATGTACACAAAAAGGCCTATTTCTCTCAAATATTGTTCACAAATCTGTCTAAATCTGTGTTAGTGAGCGCTTCTCCTTTGCCAAGATAATCCATACACCTCACAGGTGTGGCATATCAAGATGCTGATTAGACAGCATGATGCATGCCAATTGCACACTCCCTCAAAACTTGCGACATCTGTGGCCTTGTGCTGTTTGATAAAACTGCACATTTTAGAGTGGCCTTTTATTGTGGCCAGCCTAAGGCACACCTGTGCAATAATCATGCTGTCTAATCAGCATCTTGATATGCCACACCTGTGAGGTGGATGGATTATCTCGGCAAAGGAGAAGTGCTCACTAACACGGATTTAGACAGATTTGTGAACAATATTTGAGAGAAATAGGCCTTTTGTGTACATAGAAAAAGTTTCAGATCTTTGAGTTCAGCTCATGAAAAATGGGGGCAAAATCAAAAGTGTTGCGTTTATAATTTTGTTCTGTGTAAATAAATGCCCCTTTTCACAAACAAAATATTATACTACATATTGTCTGCTTGTTGATGGTATAAATACTCTACTATCAGTAATTAATAACCAGTACACTGTGTTCTGTCATTGTGCTGTTACTGTCCTTCCTCTTTCATCTTGAGTGCTTATATAGCGTTTAATTTGAACCAGGAACTACCCAACAGCCACCTCTTCCTCCACAAACCACAAAACCAACATGGTGTATGTCACGGCTTCACACTAAATGTGTAGGTGGTTGCTACGTTGTTTTTTGTAATTTCTAGTGTTGATAAGGGTTTGTAAGTGTAATCGATAAAAGTGGTATTAGCACACCTCTCCTCAATAAGAAATGATTTGAGATATCATTCATGTCAACAGCACAAACAGGCCAAAGCTTAACATTTTATATTTTGCTGAAATCCCCAAGTACGAGCAATAATTATGATGTTTGCCTTATTTATAAGCACAAGAACAGTTTATAGGACTTGTATGGT